CGAAAACAGCGAATTCCAAGAAAATCACAATGAGCGTGAAGCCTTCGTTTTTGTACAAAGTGAGTCATTTTCACGACTTGGCGCTTCTGAGCCATCCGGTTTGCGGTTTTTAGCCGGAACTTCAGTCAGGCACTTTGGCTCCCGATCCGAAAATGCAAGTGGAAATCTTCGATCGCATAGTGAACACGAGAAAAGGATTCAGCGTGCCTTTCGGCTTAAAAGGAACGGTGATTTCCATCATTAAATCCTCCTCTAAAAGTGAAAGAGACACTATGTATGATGTGGTGTTTGATAAGGCTTTTAAGGATGGAATGGAGCTGAACTGTTCACCTGGGCGAGGCTATCGCCTGCCCAGAACAGCCTTTATCAACATTTCCCACGGCAAAAGGATGTACGAGCAGCGAATAGGCCGAAATGGTAAGAACACTCCCCCAAATACCAGGTAAAAGCACTAAAAACTATTTAAGGCGCGTTAGCGGACAAGTCGGCAAAGAACCAGGGAACCCCATGGCAAAACACCAACGGCCAGAAGTTTTTCAACCAATTCATGAACAATTCGGCGCAACGCCATACAGACAAAACAGTCCCGGAAAAGCCCGGCCAAGGATCGGCGTTCGCGCCCTTCCATCACAGCAGCAGGAATCAGTTGCTCGAAGATCAAGCGTCCAAACCATCTGATCGAGGGAACGGTATCAGTACTGAGCGATTTGAACCGAGGGAACCGCACACTGCAAAAGAAGCGAAGCTGGCAGGGAAAAGTGAGCGCATCAGAATTTTCCAGCGACCCAAAGACGACCCACATTGGCAACCCGACTTGATAGAAAGCAGAAAGACTGCGCCTACCACTAAGAGCAACGCAACCCCTGAAACGAGCTGCTTGAATGTGTCTTTTGAAGAACTGGCGGTAAGTGAAGGCTGGTAGCCAGAGGTTGTTCAGGGATTTATTTTAAAACCTAGGGAAAATTGGAAAAGGAGTTTTTCATTTTTTTAAGTTCTAACCTAATCCGAATGGACGAGCACCTTGATTCTTATCCCAAACGGGCTTTTGATATTTTGAAAATGACCAATCTCCAGTTAGAAGTTTCCGATCTGAATTTCTTTTAGAAACACATTTCAAGCCAACCGGCAAGCATTAGACTCTTAACCTACTACCAATCGAACGGTTTGGGAGTACCACGGTACCAGTTCTTCCAAGCAGGGTCGAAATTCAAGGCCCAAATCGCCCTTTCTAACGGATTAGTCGTTACTAGTGAACCAATGAGTTCAAAGGAAAAAGCCACTGAAAGCGTGGCTAGTGACGTTTTGCAACGGTTAATGAAAAAGGTGAGTTTATTGAACATTGGTTTAAAAAAAACATGTTTCTTTCGAAGTCTTTGATTGGCGCAGTCGGTAGGATTTTATTGGGGCGGCGTGATCGACCACTTTTTTAATCGTTCAGTAAAATCGAAGCACAAAATTTGATTTTCGCCCAACAATGCAACTCAAGTTCAACTCAGAAAGTGCGCCAATTATAGATTTCGAAGGGAAAATTTTTGCAGAGTTTGAGAATCTTGTCGGTCGTAATAAAACATTGGTTTTTCAAAAGAACATTTTGCTTTCGAAATGTGTAATTCTATTGAGCGAGATGTTGGGCTGTTTTAGGGCGAAACTAGCGATGCAGTCTTGCCGATTCCACCGAAAACTTGGGTGGAACCAACTAAGGAAAAAGACCAGGCCTTGATGGCGGCCCTGCAGAACCCATTTTTGCCGACGCAGGTTATTAAAAGGCAAACCAGCAGGCCTAGCGCCGGAAGCCTTGAAGGGGTTGGTTCGAAAAAAACAGGCGCCGCCAATGTTAACGAAAACGGTCATAAAACTTCGTCTGGCCACGATGAGACCAAACCGGTAAGTTCGCGAATACGGACGCTTGTAAAAAAACTGGAAAACCGTTCGTTTGTAGGCCCCCAATTCCGCCCAACAGAGAAGGGAGAAGAAATCCCGAATAGCTGCCAACTTTCTGTTGAAACGTTAACGTGTTCCCGCACGTCTTGCCGGAAATTGGAGATTTTCTTCAATTTTCGTTATTTTTTCCAATGGCTATATATATTAAACTATTTTTCCAACGTTTTTCTTGCAATTTAAAATTACAGTAGACATCGTTTTGGCTGCATCACCGCCTAACATTACCAAAACCGAAGGTATGAGTGCAGGGTGTTTCACAAATAAGTACCATAAATTCAAGGAAAAATACCCTTGTAAAAATATGAAAAAAATCGTAATATTCATGGGTCCGCACAAGCCGTTTTCGAAATAGTCGGCGTCAAACTTTACGTTGAAAAAATACAAAATCATAAATTTCTGGAAAATGGTTTGATAAATACTAATGAAACTTTGTGGGTAGCCAGGGCTGTAAGAGGTGCTTAGTTATAATTATTCTGTTTTTTACATTTTTACCAGTGTTGTGCATACCGCTTTGTTTTGGGTATTTTTGAGGAAAAATCGCACGTTACTGGTATTTTGAGAAATTAAATCTTAATTGATTGTTCAATTCTGAAGATACAAACAATTTTATTTCTGTCATACGACCAACCGTTTTTCGGTAAAAAAATCATTTTGATTAGAAAATTTCACATTACACAGTTTCTTCTAAGAATTACCTTCATTAATAAAGTAGTTCTATCTATTTACCCCTGAATTTACGGTATTTATTTCTGGGACACTTTGTATACTGGGCGTCCCCCCAAAATGCTTCATTGGGCCTTGGAAAGTCGAGTGATTATCAAATATTGCATACTGTTTGGATCTTATTTGTACATTTTGTGCTCGTTTTACCGCAAACATGATCAGATAAGTGTGAAAATGCGCTTCATCAGTGAAAGTTGTCTAAATAGAGGGACAACACGAATGAACTTGATGTATATCTGTCCGTTCCAATTTGGAATGTTTATAAAGAGAATAAACGCAACTATTTCTTACCATTAGATGCAGATCTGCTTTTCCATTAACTTTCATGTGGATGCATGAGAACGTAACGTACCACTTTGACACGAGTAGTTGTCAAAGTAAGTTCGGCAGTTTTTGAAGTGGGCGCGGTTGCTTCATTTGGAGGTTAACTCAACAATGTGCGATCTAATTTCCGTAAAATTTCCACTTTTCCATAAAATTGCGAACAGTAGTTATTCAGTGGTAAAAAATATTTAAAAATTAAATAGGTTATGGTTTTTTAGCCTTGCTTCGGCTAAACGCTCAGGATCAAAGTTTGCTAATTATCATAAGGCGCAAGGTTTTCAGTTCAGTTCTATGTCAGCCTTCTTTGTCCAAAAAGTTGTCCAAATAACAAAACATAAAACACACAAAATATTTTCTCCCAATTAGAGAAAAATCTGCGTTTTTTGTATTCATTTTGACAACTTTGACATTGTGAATTGTCAATATACGTTGAGCCGGCTGTGAAGTGGGCGCGGTTTTTTATTTTGCATAAGCTAATTTTTACATTTTCCTGCTCTTCGAGGACAAAAACCCTTATGCAAAACGGAGAAATTGACAAAAATTTACTACTTTTGCATTAAAAGGATTCAATTTGCTTGTGTATTCAGGTGTAAAAAGATATGTAAGGAACCAAAAGTTCTATAGGTAAAGTCTTGCTTCCGCTAAACGCTCAGGATCAAAGTTTTCTAATAAATCGTAAGACGCACTGTTTTCAACAGTTCTATTTCAGTTCCTTTGGGGCAAAAAGGCTCAAACTAGTGCAAACAAGCGCTCCTTACGCGAAAGTTGTCTAAAGACGCTAGCAAAACTATCCAAACTAATCCGTATATTCCTATACCTAAGGGAGGTCTATAAAAGGACAAAATACCTTTTTTTTCTTACCGTTCGAGGTAAATCTGTGGTTTTTTCACTAACTTACACTGCACAAATGTCAAAAAAGGTAAGTGACATGGGAAATTGTCCACGAACGTCCAACCAGCTTTGAGATGGGCGCGGTTTTTCATTCTTGGGGCCAATTCAAATTTTCCCGGTTTGGAGACTCAGGTATACCCAAATTAAGAAGCTGGAAATTGCCTGAAGATCATTACTTTCCTATAAAATTCAAAATATTTCATCAGGATCATTTTTTGGCAGAAAATAAATTGAAATAAATGAAAACTATAATAAAATCCCCCAAAGCCTTGCTTTGGCTATATTGTTTCAAGTTTCTGTTTTTAACAATATTAGTTATAATAATATTTAACAATAATAGTTTTAATCTAGGACCGCGCCCTAATGAACCGAAGTTTGAAAGAAGGCAAATGTCAATTTAGACAACGATGATGACAATTATTTGTTGAATTCAATCGAAATGCCGAAAAAGTAAACAAAAACCAGTTGTAGGTGTACATACATAGTTAATACTATAGGAAAATGGTTGTAAATGATATAAACACTCTGGCCGAAGACTTGGAAAACCAAGAACTAGCGGTGAGCCATCTTGATCACTTGTGAGGTTTTAATCCTAGCCCCATTTGCTTTACAGGCACCCAGTGGAATTGCCAGCCCCGAAGTCTACGGCCAGCTTCTAGCCATCTACCTTTATCAGAACGACTTGTAAGTTTCTCAACTGTTAAGCAGGTGGAACCGCTAATGTCGATTCTTTAGGTGTAACGCCAAGTTTCTATGGAAGAGAATTCCAGCTAGTGTTAAGACAGCGGCCCCTGAATTGGGCCAGATATGGGCTGTGGGGCATCATTTGTGGAAGAGCGACTTTCCAGCCACCTACCAAGCACTGAATGCGGTGAAATGGTCGGAAAATGTCGCTGAGATTATGCAAAACGTTCAAAGTAAGTGCCAAAAAAAACGTCCAAACCGAGGCAAAACGTCGGCGTGTCTCTTGCAGTTGTGGTAAGGTCAAGAGCCGTCGACCTCATGTCGCAGGCATATTCCTCAATAAATCTACAGACAGTCCAGGCAATGACTGGCCTGGACTCCGAGGTTTGCATTGCGGCCTGTAAAGAAAAAGGGTGGCGGGTCGAAACCGACTCAAAAATCGTTTATCCGGTTAGAAAAGCAGCGGAGCCTCTATCCCAGTTGAGCAGTGAGGATCAACTGTTCAAGCTAACTGACTTTGTCTCTTTTCTCGAAAATTAACTCATTTGTTTTTTGTAATTGTAAGAATCTGCAATAAAACTATTTAAGTCACTTACTGGGCCAGTTGGGGTTGAAGGTCTAAAACGATCCACCCACACCACTACTAAATCTCCAATGCCAAGAAAACCACCCTAATTCAATCAGAAGCGATTTTTAATTGAACAAATAAATTATATACACAAACTTTACCCAATTTCCCAATCAATATAATTTTCTTAATTCAACTCAAGTGACTGACACAATCATTGGCACGCTCGCTAGAAATACTATGCAGACTTTACGCTAAAAGGCATTCAACAATATGTATAACATAGAGGCATTGTTGTTTGGGAATTCTAAAGGATAGCGCTATTATAAAAATACGTAAAGTTTACAACTTACAACAATATTCAACAGTGAATTTCATGGAACTTAAGTACAATGACATGGCATCTATTGGTCGTTGCTCATATGATATGTACCAGGATGAAGACAAGAAGAAATAGGAAAACGGTTCCTCCCTGGTCTTTTATTAACTAATTAATTAGGCAAAACTATCTAAACTCTCAATAAATGCACAGAATTTGAAAAACGAAAATCCTGAAGGCCGAGAATTGCTAAAACACAATCAGAAAATGTATATGGGCCACGATCAGTAGATACCAGAAGACAAATTGGTATGTATAAATATAACTGTCTAAAGTAAAGTCTTTTTCAGTCTGTAATCGAAATCTGGGCGTATCCTATTAGGGCCTTATCATCGGGAGCTTCATTGTTTCCCGTTCCGGATTGCTAAAAACTCCCATTAAACATCGCAAAACCATCAAACTTCGACCACTTACCAGTTGAAAAGTGACCACTTTCAGTGTGTGCCTTTGCTCGATCAGTTTCTGCAGATTCTGGGTTATAGCCGTTATGTCTTTTCCATCTACCAGTCCAGCCCCCACCAGTTCACTTGCGATTCCTTCGGCCGAATCTTTCCCCACTGCGAACTCGAACCGGATGTCGTTCAGCTCCCTTTTAGCATTCCTGCAATAAAGCGCGTCATCAATATCTCAATTAGATTGGTTAAGGAACGAACCTCAAGGGAACGGATCTTGGGGGTGATCTGAAACAGGAAACGGGAAAGAATCTGGTTATTAAGGGATTCATAGGTATGGTTTTTCAATTGAAGAAAGTTTTTCACCTCATTCTCAAAACCAGATTGACTGGCGGCGGTTCGCTTTCACTGCTCTCATGATCCGACCCGGAAGATCCTGCCGAAACCAGCGTATTCATGGGTTTTGAGTCAGTATCGCTATCGCTCGATTCATCCGCATCTTCGTCCTCACTCGACCAAACCCATTCGCCGGTTTCCTTGCGGTGCAGTCGCCCAGACGCGCCCGGTTGCCTTTTGGAGGCCTGCCGATCAACAAACCAATTCAAATAAAATGAAAAGACCTGATGATGCCAGTACCTTTTGCACGCGCGTTTCCAAACTGGGCCCAATAGCGACGAGGGTTTGTTGCAAATACTTTTTGTCTTTTGCTTTCTTGAAGAATGGATGCTTTAAGAGTTCGGCGGCGCTTGGTCGCTTGGAGGCCTCTTTTTGGAGACAATCGGTAATCATTTTCCTGAATGTCTTGCCGTAAGCCTGAAAAATCCGTGAAAAGTGATCGTTTTTTAAATATCGCAAACCGCCATCTAAATAGTACCTTGTATTGGTCCCTTTCATCGGCTCCTGTATCCAGATTAGGAGGCTCGTTCTGGAGCGTCAGCATGAGCACCTTCATGGGCGGGTACTTGTGATAGGGGGCTGTTCCGGTGGCCATTTCAATGGCAGTGATTCCAAAAGACCAAATGTCTGCTTTGAAGTCGTAGCCATGATCCTGACAAACACTTCTATTAAGAACATGGAAAAAGTGACGGAAAACTAGCGTTTACCTGCTCCATTACTTCAGGAGCCATCCAGCAAGGGGTCCCCACGAAAGTGTGCCGGACTTTTTCCCTGGAAAGGTCCCGGCCAGTAGCCAGCCAGGCGGAAACGCCGAAATCCGCGATCTGAACAGTCCCATCTTCGCCCAGTAGAATATTGCCTGCCTTGATGTCTCTATAAATAAAACGCCCATTGATAGAAATCATCGAAATTTTCCACGAATTTTTTAAACTTGCCTGTGGATCTGGCCGTTGCTGTGAAAATACTCCAGCCCTTTGAGCACTTCGCGCAACACTGTAGCTATGGTGGCCTCGTCAAACACTCCATGTTTGCAATTGGAAATGCGCATCTTGTGCTTGATGATATCCAGAAGACTGCCGCCTTCCAGCAGTTTCAGCACCAGCCACAGCTCCTCTCGCACCACAAAGCTCGTGTAATAAGTGACGACGTTTTCATGGTTGCACGAAGACATAGCCTGGATCTCCTTAAGTAGCTCGTCCATTGAAGTGTTCCATTTTTCCAGGTTGATGCGCTTGATGGCGCATTTTTCGTTGCGCGGCTTGCACAATGCTCCATGCACTACAGCAGTGGCTCCAACACCTGACAAAAAAATAGTGTTGTAAGTGCTTCACGCAAAGTGAAGAAATTTAGCAAGCAAAAATCAGTACACTCTGTAAAGTGATACAGGTAGTTTTATTTAAATTTGATAAGATAAAATGCCGTTTTCTTTGAATCTCATTTTACATGCTTGAAATCTGTTATGCTTGTCTCGTTTGTTCTGCCAAAAAGTGGCAATTGCTCGAGATTTTCCACATTCACGTACAAAAAAAGTGGATTTACAAACGGCGTCTTTGGCAAAAATGCGCCAAATATTTTGCGGGCTTTTGAATAAGCGCCCCATTTGTGCGAGAAAGCTTTCAACCTGCCACTTTATCCGATGGTGCAGCTGTTATGAAGCGAAAACCCTTTTCAACCCCAAAACTACACTGCTGGAACAGGGGAAAAAATGAGGCTCAAAAAGTGGTTTCAACGGTTGTAAACATCAGCCCAAAGGTTCCAAAAGACTTTTAAATTAAAATCGAAAAAGGAAAACCGCTCATATCTCGGAAACAGCTAAAAATACCTAACGAGTCATAAGAACCAGAAAAAAATCCAGTCTGAAACATCATAAATTGGCCCAAAAAATATCGAATGTCGCGGAATTTTCATAAGAAAAGTGCGCCCTTCAATGGGAAAGCCCTTTCAAGCCTTCAGTGACAATTTGAGGCTCCTGCCATCAACTTGAGACTAAACTGAACTTGCCCTAATAAGAAAATCAAGCAATAATATCGATTGAAAATTGATAAAATTTCCCTTGTCAATGTAACCACAAGTTGTCCTGCCCTAAATGAAGGGCCAGGGTGAGCGCACTTGTGGAGAAAACCTACAAAATTCAGGTAGATGAGTCAATGAACCTTGAAGTGGAACGGAACGTGTACTTTGAGTGTCACTTGGCTGGAAAAGGGGGTCACTCGGGCAATTACTCATCTGGCCCCATTTCAAGTGCAAATACTGTTTTTATCAATTTAATTGCGCTGATTACGATAAAAAAAGCCCATGGGATTAAATAGCGAAATTGCCCAATTGGGGCTCGTATTGACTGCCTCGGCTTATGCCCCCTGAGTAGGCGAGAAGGCGCAGCGCCCTCATTCAACTTGACTGGCGTTTTGTTGCCCACAGATAGTAAATCTGGGCAAAAACTGGTACCGGAACCGAACACCAAAAAAGTGCATAACCTATAAACACTAACTATTCGGCGATTTATCTTCGAACGCGCGAATGATTCCGCACGTGTTATACACCAAAATGTGGGGATTTTCCTGGAGAGTTTAATGGATTCGCATACTAACCGATCACTTTTCCCAGTTCGTAATCGTCTTTAGAATTGGGCCAGGGCACTGTCGGTTGCGACGTCGACGCGGCCATTTTTTTTGAGAAAATGTTCCCTATTTTGCCGATCGATTGTTTTGCATAACCTCCTATCGTCAGTGGCGAGAATTCAGTGCTTGGCGGCCTCGGCCGGAAGATGCCGGGAGTTCCGTGCGGCATCAGTTCCTCGGAGATTTTCCTTTAAACCAAAAAAAAACAAGAATTAGCACCTCTAACACTGGTAAGTGTTCAACATGTTCAATGTTCGTGATATTCACCCTTGGTCCATGTCTGGTCACCTTTTTTATAGCTGAAAAGGCTTGATTTATTGATTTGAAGGTTAGGAAATCTGTCAAAATTTTTGAAAATTTCCAAATTGGTTAAAAGCAAATCGGCTCGCTTTCGTACAGCACCAAAACGAGGTTCAGCGGCTACTGAAGAACTGAAAATTTGTGCGGTACCGATGTCATAACTAAACCACAGACAAGACTTTCAAAATTCGCCCATGTTGCCGACAATGATCGAAAATCCCCGTAAGTTAGTGTTTAAATACCGAAACTCAGAGACAACATTTAAAATTTTTTCTTCATTTCGTGGTTTTTTTTTTATTTTTAATTAATATATAATTCTATTAAAATGTGTTTTTAGTTTTCCTCTTTTCAACTACGTATATGCGAATATGCGAGAGAGAAGCGACAGTTTGTGTGGTGATTTGATGGTGTTTTAACGAGATTTTAAAAAGTGGTTTTTGTCTAAAAGACTAAAATACTTATTCTATTTCGTGGTCTGAGTTATGGAGTAAATTCCTACATCGACGGTTAATAATTAACCTGGCAGCGTTGCATACCACTATCGTTAATCTTAAATTATCAGATTGTGTACATTTACGGTGATCAATTTTCAGTTTGTTTTTAATTAGTTTCTAATGTGTTTGGTGAATTCAATACGCAAACAAACATTTCAAAAATGTTTGTTTTGTGGATTACAAGAAGTGTTATTCGTGTTTAACGGTCAAAAACTAGTAATAGTAGTGTTTGAATGTGGACAGAATATGGACCAGTTTATTGAGAACTAGAAATTCATTGAAATTGTCTTTGAACCATTGTATTCAAACATCAACAATTAATATTAATTTAAATTTAATCTTAATTAAATTAACATTAACATTGTTCAGTTTAAATCAATATTAGTTTGTGATAATAAAACTATGCTTAATCGAACTATCATTTACATTAGCGTGTGTGCTTGCAAATTATGTCAGTACAAGACGTATTAGTGGAGTCTACGTAAATAATACTGACTAATTTGGCTCTATTAAATGCGTTTTGCACACATTTTCAAGCATAGAACATTTTTTTTTCACATAGACCAGAAACTATGTGAACTTGTCTCTGACATGGTTTCGTTGTGTAAGAAAAATTTCTAAGCTCCAGAGAGCTGGGAAGCAAAATAATCAAACTTTTGGATGTCTGAAAGTTTAAATCATTCGGCCTCTGAAGAACGACTGGAAATGGCGCGTTTATCGAAGGTGCATTTTCAAAAGCAGCTTTTTGGGGCTGTATTTTGGCGCAAATTTTGGATACCGGATTAGGGCTTCGCCCCCTTTCAGGCATCAGAGAGGTTAAAAGCGTCATCGCTCCTAAATGATTACAAATATCTAATCGAGTTTCCCAAACTGTGTTCCGCTTACTTCATACTTTTTTTTAGTTTCCATAAAGTGGAAAAACACGTTATCATCACTCATGAAAAATGTAGTGATCTTTTTTTAGGTGTTAAAATAAAGTTCAATGGAAATAAACTTAAAAATAAACAAAGTGTTTCGAAAACATTTCTGGGTTTACAAAGTGTTCCATTATCGAAAAAGTTGCGGAATCACCAACAATTCTTTCTACACAAAAATCGCCTTATTTTTTAGATAAAATACTGACACTCCAGGTATTTTCTGTGAAAAATTATAAGAGAAATTTTATTGGAACACTCTTAACAGCTTTGCAACAATGTTTAGTTTCTGCAGCATCGGATTATGATTATGAAACAGCGAAAGTTTATAGTTATTTATTTGGAAAACTCTTGAMARCTGGGGTTTMWTCACTTTTAAGTCAATATTTCTGAACCCCACTGTCTTCAMACAGAAAAACCGTGYTTTTCCTAGCGTTTTACTCTAAAATACTGGCAAACTGATTCTTTTACGCAAAAAAATTAAGAGATGGATTTTACAAGACAAGAAAACTCGTCKACTTCGTTTGGACTCAGTTTTGTTGCTGGGAAAATGAAGATGACTTTTGTAGTTGTCTGAACAAAGTAGTAAAACGTTACTCAGAAAAAATGTTGATAACCTTTTTTTTGAGATGTGAAAATTTCAGAGTTTCCGGTTTCGTAAAGCTTTAAAACATTACCTATAACTCATTAACCGTTGCGTTATAACTCGGTAACTCAGAGAGCGGCAACAACTCAATAGCGCAACTCAACACAGTGTTACACAGGCCTACGGCCCGTTAAACATGTTTATGCGGCCCGCCAAGCATTTCTCAAATTGAACTGAAGAGAATAATATTTCTCACTTTCCACATTTAGAAAACATACATTTTAATCAACGAATTTCAAAAACTATTCCAAATGTTCAAAGCTGAGAAAACAGCGGTTTCCTTGAAAATATTTTGCTCGCCATTTAATATCGATGTGGATACAGTTCAAGTGGTTGAACATGCAGAATAATACCGATTTAAAAAATGTATTTTTTCAGTAAACATCGAAAATTTGTATGAATCTTATGTGAGCCCTGAGTGATTTTAGGTTTTGGCCAAAAATGCAAAGCAAATGATGTCTTTGTTTGGAAGTACAGTGAAGTCCGCTTATAATGAACCCGGTTATAGTGAACTTTCGTTAGTTTTAAAACGAACTATTTTCCTTTAATTGAAACGTCGTCCATAAAGACCAACTTATTTTCTTACTGGTTATAACGAACCCGTTTATACCGAAATTCCGGATATAACGATCACTTTTTAGGTTAGTTGTATATTAATTTTCCGTTTATAACGAACTTCCACGCTCAGCAACACCAATCCTGTGCAGTTGTTTATATTAGTGAGAGCGAGATACAGCCAATGACACTTGTTGTTTTGTTGTTTTTTGTCGCGTTATATATGTAAACCGTTTTAGAATGTAAAAACAAAAACGCAAAGCTTCTTCACTAAATGAAAAGTACGAGATTATTAACAAAATAAAAAGTGGAGTAAAACAGAGTGAAAGGAATAAGGAATTAGCACTTGGAAAGTCTACCGTTGCAACAATATGGAAAAACAGAGAAAACATTTTATGAGCGTATGACAAAATAAATGTTAGATGTAGGAAGTTAAAATTATCTGCACATGAAAACTTACTTTACTCGAAAAAGACAAGAAAACGTTCCCATAAGTGGCAGTGTTTTGCAAGAAAATGGTAGTGAAATGGGGAGTAAAATCAAAAACAAAGAGTTTGCTTGTTCTAAAAGTTGGGAAGA